AGACCGTCAGCTGATTTCTCAATAGAAACACTTCAGGCCAGAAGGGACTGGCATGACGTAATACAAAGTAATGAAAAGCAAGGGACCGAATCCAAGACTACTCTAACCAGCAAGGCTATCATTCCAAATTGAAAGTGAAATAAATAGCTTCGCCGACAAAAAAATGGCTAAGATAGTTTATCGCCGCCAAACCAAAACCGCAAGAAAATGCTACAGGGACTGTTGTAAGAAGAAATGGTGGGGCGGGGGGGGGGCGGGGAAATACCAGCATAAAGAATAAGAATGGGAACAGATGAGCACCATCTGTAATAACCTCAAATGTAAACGCTCAGATGCTCCAATCAAACCCATAGGGTGGCTGAATGGGTGGAAAATGTAAACCCATATGTAGGCTGTCTACAAAGTCCCACCTCAGAACAAAAGACTCCAAAGGATGAAAGGAAGGGATGGAAGAATTTTCCATGCCAATGAAATGAAGAAAAAACCTGGGGTAGCAATACTCATATCTGACGAAAAAGACTTCAAAATGCATCACCTAGGGCAAGAGAAACAAAGGAAAAACTAAACAAGAGGGAATATACCAAAATAAAAAGCATCTGCACAGCCAAAGACACCAGCATCAAAATGAAAAGGGAGCCCACTGCATGGGAGAACATATTTGCCACTGATACATCTGCTAAGGGATTTTCCAAAAATGTATAAAATACTCATCTAACTCAACAAGTGGTAGACAAACAGTCCAATTAAAAAATGGGTAGAAGACCTGAATAGACACTTCTCCAAAGAGGACATACAAATGGCCAAGAGACACGTGAAAAAATGCCCAGCGTCACTAATAATCAGAAAAATGAAAATCCAAATGATAATGAGGTACCACCTCACACCTGCCAGGATGGCTACCATCAACAAATCAACAAACGACAAGTGCTGGCGAGGATTTGGAGAAGAGGGAGCCCTCATGTACTGCTGGTGGGAATGCAGACTGGTGCAGCCACTATGGAAAACAGAGCGGAGTTTCCTCAAAAAATTAAAAATGGAACTCCCATTTGACCCAGTGATCCCACGTCTATGAATATACCCTAAGAAGCCAGAAACAGCAATCAGAAAGAATGTATGCTCCCTTACATTCATAGCGGTGTTATTCACAATAGCTAAGATTTGGAAACAGCCCAAGTGCCCATCAGCAGATAAGTCATAAAAAAGCTGTGGAATATTTATACCATGGAATACTACACAGCAGTAAAAAGTACGATCTCATACCCTTTGAACAGCCTAGAGGTGTTACGCTAAGTGAAATAAGCCGGTCAGAGAAAGACAAGTTCCCATGATCTCACTCCTATGTGGAAGCTAATGAATGAAATAAACTGAACTGATGAACAAAAAATATCTAGACATCGAAGCAGGCAACAGACTGACATATTTAGAGGGAAGGGGGAGAGGCTAATCCATTTATGTGCATGTATGCACAGCTCACGGACAGACAAAAGTGGGGGGAGGAGGTGGGAGCAGGGTGGTGGGGGCCACTGGGGGGAAAAGGGGACATCTGTAATACTTTCAACAATAGAGATAAATTTAAATAATAAAATCTATAATAATAAAAGGGTAATATGCTAATTAGACCGCACATCATTCCGGATGTCCTTTCGGAGGAAGCCGGTGCTGGCAGCTGGGGCAAGGACGGCCTACTCTTGCATGAATATTCGTGCATCGGGCCTCTAGTCAAATATACCAGTAAGATGGACACCCTAGGTTAACCCACTAAAAAGGAAGTAAATACCCAAGCCAGCTGGAAGAAAGCTGAGTAAAATGAATGCCCAGGACTCCGGGTGCACACCTGTTTGCCTCAAGTCCCTCCTTCCCCGGGATACAGTCCCCAAATAAAAGGGCGGAACTGCAAGAAGTGACAAGCCTACAACAGCAACGGCAAAGGAGGTGACAGCCCTGACCCGGTAGATCAGTTGGCTGAGAGCATCATCTGGGTGGGACAAGGTAGTGGGTTCAATCACTGGCCAGGGCACACACAGGAATCAACTAATGAATGCATAAATGGGGTGGAACAACAAAATGATCTCTTTCTCTCTCTCTCTCTCTCTCTCTCTCCCCTTCTCTCTGTCTTCCCCTTCCACTCTCTAAAATCAAACAATAAAAAATGAATAAAAAGAAAGGAGGTGGGTTGGGCCAGGCCTCAGCACGAGGCACCTCTCAGGGACAGACCCTATAGACTGTGACCCCTACTGCCCTGCACAGGAGCCAGGCCCAGGCGTGGGGCCTTAGGTGAACTCTCCCTTAACCCTCACTCAACCGCCGAGACACAAAGCCGCCCACACTGCTCACCTCTGGGCCACCGCGAGCGCGGTCTCCACGGGCAGCGTACAGGGCAGCATCACGTAAGACATGACCTTCACCGGTAGGAAGCTGCAGATCTTGCTCCAGCGGCCACCTCGGGGTCTACATGCCTCACTCAGGCCTGAAAGATACCATTGGGGGGAGGGGCGTCCCCCCCAGTGTAACCTCACCCAGGTGCTGCCTGCAATTCCAGTGAAACACACAAATCCTGCTGCCAAAGAATCAGAAGCCGGGCCCATGCCATGGATCAGGGAGTGCGGCCTGAACAGCCCTGGGACAGCCACGGCCCCGGATCAACTGTCCCACTGGCAGCTCTCCCTGGAGGAGGCACCGACCCCCAACCCCACCCGCCTTACGGGCTTTCCCAACACGCCCTCTTCTGCCTGGAGCCCTGGTTTCTGTTTCCCCTTCGTCGTGGCCTCAGGACCCTCAAATCGTAGCAACCTGGGCACCAGCGTCGTGTTTATCTTTGAATTTCTCCCAGTACCCGATTTGCACTCCTGGCCCATCTGGTGTCTGACGACATGATCAAATGCACTACCGTCGTTCAAGGACAAGTTCAAAGCTGAGGGTTCGGGGAAGGGGAGGCAGACAGGCTCCTCCAGAAAGAAGGCGTGGAGACGGGGCCCAGGCAGAGAATGGTGTTCTGGAAGAATGGTGGTCTGGGTGCGCCCAGACCCAGGAACTGGGCGCATGCCCGCTTAACTCCCAACGGGCTCACCGGGAGTGTGGCTTTTTCTGGCCATGCACACGGGGAAGGGAGGCTGAGCAAGGCGCCCGGGTGGGGAGATGGTGCCAGGAGGTGGGGCCTCCTCTCCTCCCCGTGGCAGCATCACCTCCTCCCCAACCCAGAGAGAAGCCCTCTGAGCCTCAGCAACAGAGAGCAGCACCCTGCCGTCCCGCCAGAGGCGTCTCACCCGCAATGAGCTTGGGCGACAGGGTCTCCAGGATGCTCTCGTCCCAGGACCGGAGGCTGACACGCAGGTGGGCCAGCAGCTCGGCCACCTCGGGCCTCCCCTGCCAGGCAGCCGCCCCCGGGGAAGCCTCGGGGCTCGCGGTTTCCCAGGAGAACGGAAGGAACTCGGGCGCTGCCGAGGGCACACTCGGGCTCGGACGGGGCCTGTCACAGATGCCTACGTGGGGCACGGAGACAGGGGGCATGACTCACACACCCACCCACTCATGACAGGAGGCCAGGGGCCACCAGACATCCAGAGGGGCCTTCCCACGCTCCCCTCTGGCCTCCCTCCCTCCTGCTTCAGCAGCCCTCCCTGGCTCCCTACTGCTGCAGTGCAGGCTTCACCATGCGCACGGGGCCCAGCTTGCGCCTCTCCTCTGTCCATCTCTCAGCCACTGCAGTTACACAGGCCTTTTCCCCTCCTATCCATCTCCAAAGTGGAGTCACCTCCTCCTGGAAGCCCTCCTTTCCCCCAGGCCTTGCAGCTCCCTCCTGTGTGGCCCTGTAGCAGCCCACATCCTGTCCCGCCCTCTGCATGTCATCCCTCCACACGTCATCCATCCCCAGAGTGAGCTCCGGGTGGCAGGGCCCCCCGCACTCAGCCACGTGCGTGGCACCTGGAAGGGACACAATGGACACTTCCTGAGTGGGTAACACGTGCAGGTCCTAGTGACCAGACTGACTCCTTGGTCTCGGCCTCAGGCTAATGGACGCGGTCAATACAGGAGCCAACGTGCAGCATCGAAGATAAGCAGCTCCGAACACATCTTACGGTGGGTTCCACGCGAATGTGTCAGGAGCCCGACTCCTCACCGAGTGAGGGCACAGGCCCTGGGGCTTTCCAAGGCTGCTGACCAACAGCGGAGGCCAAGGGCTCATCTGGCCCGGCCAGTGTGGCTCAGTGGACGAGCCTCAACCCATGAACCCGGAGGGCACGGTTCTGTTCCTGGCCAGCGCACTGCCCAAACTGCGGATTCTCCCTCCCTCTCCCTCTCTCTGAAACCAATAAAACCATATATTTTTTTTCTTTTCTTTTTTTAGAGAAAAGGGCTCGTCTGCTCCCCAGCTCATACGTACCTTTTTCTTCCAGGAACCTGCCCGCATCCAAGTACCCTCGCAGGCAAATCTCTCCCAGCACCTGTAAGCCAGGCAAGTAAGTGAACTCCCGGCTGACTCGCTAAGCCTCGTTCATTTAAACTGAAGACTCCTTCAAACTCTGAGCTGCCTCCATGGGCCGGGCATGGCCGGACAAGGGACTGGGCAGGAACGACACCCCTCCATGGGGCCTTTGCTGTCACCCAGCATGACAGGCCTGTCCTGGTCCTTGGGGGACAGTTTCAGCTGCCTCCCCTGCTCTGTGCACAAACCACCCACACCAACCAGCTGGTGCCCGGCCTTGCCTCCAGGGGGAGCCCTTGCGGGCTGCTCACTGTCCTGCCCACTTCCCTGCAGCCTCCTGGGCCCCCAAGCCCCGTTAGGGCCCATGTCCACACACCCCCTTACTGTTGGGGTGGGAAGGCATACTACAGCCACCACAGTGCTGCGTGGTTCGTGACCGTGGCCACGAATAAGATCATGTGGGTAACGCAACACATCCTACCGCCCAGGCTGCACCCATAAACAGTCTCCCCAGGATCTAGGACTGGTCCAGGGCTCCTCTCAGACACCGGCATTCATGGACGCTCTAGTCCCTCACGTAAATGGTGCAGGGTTTGCACACAGGCTACAGCAGGCACCCGACTCCACGTCACTCTGTGGATTCAGGGTAGGGCGCGGCGAGGGGGCAAATTCAAGTTTTGCATTTTGGGACTTTCTGGAATACACACACACACACACACACACACACACGCTTAAGCAACCAAACGACCGGTCGCTATGATGCACACTGACCACCAAGGTGCAGACGCTTAATGCAGGAGCTGCCCCCTGGTGGTCAGTGCACTCCCACAGCAGGAGTGCCCTCAGCTGACCAACCCGTCCCGGCGGCCCACCACACTCCCTCAGTAGTCCTGCAGGTCCAATCTCCGGAGAACGGGCCAGGCACTGACAGACCACTCCGCTGGCAAGATCCCCAACAGCACCACCGGCCTCCTGGAAGTCGGCCTCAGGCGCCATGGCCGCTTCCCCTCCCTAGAAGCTCAGCAAAGATGAAACAATATAAAAGCGGCCACCAGGTGGCTCCCAACAAATGGTATGAACGTCAGCGGGATGGATCCTGATCCCCCGCCGGCAAGCACCACCTCCTGCCTGGAGGGCTGATCACTTCCCAGGCCGCCCCCCCTTGGGTGCAGGGCTCACAGTTAGTGAGCACTGCTGGTCGGTGCGAGCCTCTCCCGATCGTGACTGACAGGGTGTGAGCCTGTGGCAGGTGCAGTAGGGCTAGGATGAGCAGGCGTGGCAGGCAGGAGTGGCAGGCGGTGTTGAACTGCTGGTTTTGGCCCGATCCCCGCAGGCCACCCCGAGGGACCCCACCTTTGCACGAATTTGTGCACTGGGCCTCTAGTCCTATATAATAAAACCCTAATATGCAAATTGACCAAACGGCGGAACGACCGGTCGCGATGACGTGCACTGAACACCAGGGGGCAGACGCTCAATGCACAAGCTGCCCCCTGGTGGTCAGTGTGCTCCCCCTGTGGGCTCATGGCCAGAAGCTGGGCTCACGGCTGGCCAGCACAGCAGTAGTGATGGTAGCCTCTCCTGCCTCCGCTGCTGTTCTAAGGACCCCTCGGGGAATTTCCGACTGCTGGCTTAGGTCCAATGACATCTCCTGAGGGGTCCCAGACTGTGAGTGGGTGAAGGCTGGACTGAGGGCACCCTCCCCGCCCCCACAGTGCACGAATGTATGCACCAGGCCTCTAATATATATATATATATATATATATATATATATATATATATATATATATACACACACACTAGTGTGTGTGTGTGTATCCTATCTAATAAAAGAGAAACATGGTAATTAGCCGTACCTCCGCTACCCTTCCCATTGGCTAATCAGGGCAACATGCAAATTAACTGCCAGCCAAGATGGCGGCCGGCAGCCAGGCAGCTTGAAGCGAACATGAGGCTTGCTTGCTTCAGTGACGGAGGACTCCAACGTTCCCTGCCTGCCGCTGCCAGCCTCTGAGCTTGCAATTTGAAACATTGTTACAAATTTAGAAGCTGAACAAACCCCCAGAAACCTGCTTTCAGCCAGCCGGGATCTCAGAGCTGGAGTTGAAACAGTGTTTCAATTATAGAACCCAAACAAACCAGATACCTGCTTTCAGCAGCAGATGCGTAAGAGCTGGAGCCAAGCCTCAGAGCTAAAGCTGGCCCAGAATAAAAAAAAAAAAAAAAAGGAGCAGTTGGGAGTTTTAGTCACCCGCCAGCCTGAAAACAGCCCTAAGCCCCTCACCCAGACTGGCCAGGCACCCCAGTGAGGACCCCCACCCTTATCCAGGACATCCTTCAGGGCAAACCAGCTGGCACCCACCCGTGCACCAGGCCTCTATCCTATATAATAAAAGGGTAATATGCCTCCCAACACCGGGATCAGCGGAGCCACAAGGCCTCCTGGCACCGGGATCAGCGTGACAGGGGGCAGTGCCCAAACCCCCTGATCGCCCTGCGGCTCTGTGTGTGACAGAGGGCGGGGCCACAACCTCCCTATCCGCCCTGCTCTGTTCATGACAGGGGAAGGCGCCCCAATCCCCAGATCAGCCCTGCTCTGTGCCTGATAGGGGGGAGCTCCCCAAAGCCCTGATGGCCCTGTGGCTCTGTGTGTGACAGGCTGCGGTGCCCCAACCCCCTGATCAGCCCTGCTCTGTGTGTGACAGCGTGCAACGCCCCCCCCCCCCCACGGACCCTGCTCTGTGTGTGATGGGGTAGAGCCATAACCTCCCCATCGGCCCTGCCCTGAGTGTGACAGTGGCGGTGCCCCAACCCTCTGATCGGCCCTGCTCTGTGGGTGATAGGGGTCGGCTCCCCAACCCCCTGATCCGCCCTGCTCTGTGTGTGACAGGGGGCGGTGCCCCAACTCCCCTATTGGCCCTACTCTGTGAGTGACAGGGGGGAGCCCCTCAACCCCCTGATGGGCCCTGCTCTGTGTGTGACAGGGGGGAGCTCCCCAGCCCCCTGATTGGCCCTGCTCTGTGCATGACAGGGGGCAGCGCCCCAACCCCCTGATTGGCCCTGCTCTGTGCATGACAGGGGGTGGTGCATCAACCTCCCCATCGACCCTGCCTTGAGTGTGACAGGGGGCGGTGCCCCAACCCCCAAATCAGCCCTACCCTGAGCGTGACTGAGGGTGGCATTGCAACCTCCGGATCCGCCCTGCTCTGTGCATGACAGGGGGCGGCGCCCCAGCTCCCCAATTGGCCCTGCTCTTAGCCTGACCAGGGGCTGCACCTAGGGATTGGGCCTGCCCTCTGCCACCCGGGAGCAGGACTAAGCCAGCAGGTCGTTATCTCCTGAGGGGTCCCAGACTGCGAGAGGGCACAGGCCGGGCTGAGGGACCCCCCTCCCCCCCCGAGTGCACAAATTTTTGTGCACCAGGCCTCTAGTATATATATATATATTTAAATCCTCACCCAAGGATATTATTCCATTGAATTTCAGAGAGTGGAAGAGAGAGGGCAGAGAGAAACACATCGATTAGTTTCTGCCTGCACAAGCACGGCCAGATCCAGGCTGGGGAGGAGCCTGCAACCGAGGTATGTGCCCTTGACCTGAATTGAACCCAGGACCCTTTGGTCCACAGGTCAATCAATGCTCTATCCACTGAGCCAAACCAACTAGGGCTAGAATATTTTTGATGTGTGGTTGGTTGAATCCACAGGTGGGAAACCTGTGGAGCAGGAAGGTCGACTGCACTAGAACCACAGTCCTGAGGGGCAGCAGAGTTTAATGTCCCCAGGTGATTCGGGGACACCTCCTCCTGGAAGCCCTCCTGGGGCACCACTGACCTTCAGGGACAAGTGACTCTTCTCCGGTCCCTATTCATTGAGGGGTCAGCTTTGGTTGGTTTGCGTAGAGACACTGCTGGGTCCCCAAGCAAACAAGAGCACGGAGCTGCAGCCCCCAGAACAAACAGCCCCACTCACCTTCACATCCGGGGGGAACAGGACTTGGTTGATCAGGTGGACGTTTTCCAAGCAGAAGCGGAGACTGAGACTGCACACGTCTATATGCAGGAAGTTCGTGGACTTGACCTTAGGACAGATGTCATGCTCCCCAAGGAACGGGGACACAGTGATGGTCATCTTGTCATCAAAGCAGGATCTAATGTCAGTAAACCCTCCATCCACGTACCGCTGTGAGGGAGAGAGAAACACGTCCGGTCAGAGGCTCTGGCAGGGTCCGCGGTGCTCAGATTATGGGCAGAGGCTATGGGGGAGGACGGGCTTGGGGAGCCTCTGTCAACACCTGCGGCTGGGCAGGCGGGGCCGGTACAATGTGGAGAGTCTGCACCTGTCAAACCAGTGTCCCCTATTGTGACATCCTCAACTGTCCGCAGACAGGACAGATGTCCGGGTGGGGGGAGGGGGGCAGGCAATCATCTCAGTGGGTGACGGCTGCCCAGGAAGGAGCTGCCCTGGTGCTGCACAGCCCAGCACGCAGCCCAGAGCCCGCAGAGCACACGCTCCACTCGGACTCTGCCGGACAGGGCTCGCCATCAGCCGCATGTGCCTACAGCGAGTGTTTGCCGATGGAACTGAACCGTAGCTCTGTCAGCAGCTCTGCCCCAAGCCATGGGCTGGAAGGACAGTCAGTCAGTCCCAGAGGGAACTGAATCGCTCCACCCTGAGAGCGAAGCTCGGCTTAAGGGAGTGGCTGAGTCTTAGGCCCCCGGGCACCTGTCCCCGGTGCGCAGGGGAAGATGAAGTGACCCTGCCCTGGCCGGTGTGTGTCGGTGGTTAGAGTGTCAGCCCGAGCACCACAGGTCTCGGGCTCCATTCCTGGTCATCGGCACCTACCGGGGCTGCATGATAGATCCCCGGCCTCGCTCTGAGTGCTGGATGCACCCAATTGATGTGTCTCTCTCACAACGATGTTTCTCCATCTATCTATCGATATCTATCTAACCATCCATCCATCCATCCATCCATCCAGCTATCTCTCCCCTCCCTCATCCCTTCCGCTCTAACAATCAATGGAAAAAATACCTTCTGCTGAGGCTTAACAACAAAAATGCAGTGAAGCAGCCTGTCTAGCAGAAAGCCAGGTAGTGGGTTCTTGGGGAAGGTGGTTGGGCTGGGGGTGGGTGGGAATGGAGGGGCAGCGATGGAATCTCTGGTTCAAGGCTGAGAGACACAGGGCTCTGCTTTTGGGGACCTAGGATGCCTGCACCCAGCACCCTGCGAACACAGTTTAAGAGCAGACTTACCACGCCTCTGAAGGTCGGAGGGATTAAGCCAAAGAAGAAAGGGATGAAGGAGGAACAGATCAAGGCCTGTGAAGACAAAAGGGAGTGAAACCACAGGCAAAGCAGTAGGCCCTTCATTCCCCTGGGCCTCCCTGAGCCTTCTCTCTGTGAGTGAGAAGAGCAGCTGGTCTGAAAGTGCTCTTTGCACAGAGTAGGCACTTTAATTAATGGGTTGAATGAATTTGAACCAACCACACAATAGCATTTCAGCCCCAAGCATAAGCGCCTTATCACCACAGTCTGTGGACATCAACTTCCTGTCCCTGCTGCCCACGAGAGTCCCAATGGCCAGAGCAGACAGGACGTGGAGCTGTGGACACGATGACTGACTGGGAAGGACTGGATCAGACTCAAGCTGCTTGACCCCGGCCCGGGACTCTGAGGCAGCAGCTTGGGGGAGGGGCCTCAGACTGCAAGTCTCACAGGCTCCCAGGTGATGCCCACACGGGTCCAGGGACCACAATGGAGTAGCGCCGGCTGGAGAGCATTAAGCAGCACACAACACTGACTCACAGAGAGAAAGGACTCCTGTGGGAGGGACAGGTGCTGGCTGAAGAGAAGAAACTTCCAGAAACAAGGTTCAATGACAGATGGTTGGGGCTGCTGAGATGCAGCTGGCTCTATGGGCCAGGCCGCTCTGCTCTGCAGACCTGTGTGAAGTGAAGTGAAGTGTCTATTGATCCCCCATGAAGGCATCGGGCAAATGCACTGGATTGTGACCTTGCAAACAACGTCCTCTGGGCTGGGCCCCGAGGAAGAGGCTCCGCCTCTCGCTGCTTCCCTCAAGCTGTTCTCCTGCAGGAACACGCATCCCATGCAGGAGGGACACCGAGGGACAGGGCCCTGAGGAGGTGGACAAAGCCAAGCCTGCAGGATGCGGAGCCATCCTTTACACGGAAACTGTGCTGGGAGCCCAGGGTTTCCCAGGCTGTGGCCCAGACCATGGGGGGCACGGCGTGTACGTCACAGGGTGCGGGCAGCAGACAGCGTCCCGGCCGGCCAGGTGCTTGTCCGTGTAAGAAAGGGGGCAGGTGGCCTGCGCCAGCCTCTCCATGTGACTCCAGAATGAAACTGCCCCTCACTGCCAGCACCAGACAGGCCCACCGCTTACGTCCACAACGTCGTCTTTGGACTGAAACTCGGACACCAGGACGTTTTCCCAGTCGGACACTCTGGTCAGCGAGATGCACATTTTGCCAGAGATGAGCTGGTGGACGTTGTCCGGGAGGTGTCTGTGGAGGGCTTCTCGGAGGGACCTGACTATGTTGAAGGACGGATGGAGGATGCTCATGGTCCGGCTTCTGGCAGACTCGACAAGGTCTGTGAGGAACTTCAGAGTAATGTCTGTGGGGAGACAAGCCCACAGGGGGATGGATGTGCCGCCTGGGAGAGGGGCGACTGTGGCAAGACCAGAAACCGGGCGGAGGGAGCTGTGTTCTCACGTGGCTGCAGAGCCCTTACAATGGGGATCGTCCAAACTGAGATGTAGTTAGAGGATCTCAAAACTTAATGCAAAACAGAATGTAAAATATCTCAACACACCCTTATACTGACTAAATGGGAGCAGGGGACTGTTTGGTGATATTGGGATGAATAAGACTAACTTCACTGTGTCTTACTTTTTGCTTCCTGTCTCTGGGAAACGTAAAATGACCGACAGCGCGGCCTGCACTGTTCCTGTTGCACAGCGCGCTCCCGGCCTGGCCTTGGGAAAGGCCTCCAGAGGCCCAGGTGCGCTCTCCTCGCCCCTCTCCCCTCAGAGCCAGAGCCAGGGAGGCCTGACTCCAGGGGGCAGAAGGCACCAGGCCAGCACCAGGGCAGGAAGCCTGTCTGCACCTCGAACCTGCCTCCCCCTCCCACTTGCCTCCACCTCTCACCTGCCTCCACCTCCCACCTGCCTCCCCTCTCACCTGCCTCCCCTCCCACCTGCCTCCACCTCCCACCTGCATCCCCCTCCCACCTGCCTCCCCTCTCACCTGCCTCCACCTTCCACCTGCCTCCCCTCTCACCTGCCTCCACCTCCCACCTGCCTCCACCTCCCACCTGCCTCCACCTCTCACCTGCCTCACCCTGTGCTGCGGGAACAGCCCCAGGCTCGGCCTTTCCCCTGCTATAGGAACCCCTGCACTGCTCTGCACCTCATTGGGGTCCTGGGGTCACAGCCCCAGTTAAATGTTCAACCGCGTGGGTGGCTTCAGGTCACCTTGGGGACAAGGACTGGCTGTAGCACTGCTATAGCCCGGGGGGTGGGGGGTGAGGGGGGTGGACTGGCTGCCCTGGAGGTCACATCCTGCCCTTTGCTCCCCTCCCCCTGCAGGGAGAAGGCAGCCAGGGTGGCCCCCTAACCCCACCTCCCACTCAGCCCAGGTCCCTCCAATGGCAGGAGGTCCCTCCAATGGCAGGGCTGCCCTCCTGGCAGGAGACTCCTGTCCCCAGAGCAGAGGCAGCCCCGCTGGCTGCGTCCCCCCCCAGCAGCCCTGGGTGCAGCCAAGAGGAAGTCCCTGAGGAGCCCAGGGAAAGGAGCTGATGAGGGGCATCCTCTTCCTTCTGGGCCTTTGGGTGCCAACAGCTCCACACTGCCCCTTGCTCCCAGCTCTGCCCCCTGATGGGGAACCCCAAGCCGAGGAGGCTGCACCCAGTTCTTTAGGCCAACTGGACACCAGCCCACACCCCTCCCTCCCACTGGCTTCCACAAGCACAGACGTTAATCCCGACAAAACTTAAAGGGCTGTCATTTCCTGCGGCCCTGAGTGGGTCGGAGGGTGAGCATGGTACGGGGTGTCCAGGGGCCACTCCAGCTCCGAGGAAGGGCCTGAAACACTGGGAAGGAGAGGAGATAGCTCTCCTACCCTCCTGCACACACCCTACCCATCATGGCCCCCCAACCTCCTCCAAGCCTGATCAGCTGGTCTCCAGGAGCCCTGGCCCTCTTTCTGCCTGAGATGTCTGCACCTGCCGGGGTCCAACCCCAGCAGGTCCAGGGGTCCCCAAAGGTGTGGACGGAGTTGGCGAAGAAGGAATGACACGGAGATAGCGTTCAGTGGATCAGCAGCCTAGGCAGGATCTCCAGCCAGGATCTCTAGCCAAGTTCTGGTCTGGATCTCCAGAGAGGTTTTGCTTTGGATCTCCTGCCAGGTTCGGTAGCCAGTTGTCTTGCTAGGTTCTCCAGGTTCTCCAGCCAGGTTCAGTAGCCATGTTCCCTCGCTAGGTTCTGTCTCTAGGTTCTGAGGCCAGTTTCTGTCCAGGATCTTTTGCCATGTTCTCTCCAGCGAAGTACCTCTGTCTCTAGAGAACGTTCTGTGTAGGTTCTGTGCCTAGGCTCTGTCTCTCTAGTTCTGTATCCTAAGTTCTGTCTTGCTGTCTTATTACATCTGTATTTATACCAGTTGATTCAATCCTATCAATCTCTATTACAAAGGTTAGGGCGTTTCTTATCTCCATTCCAGGGAGTAAAGATTATGTAGCTTAAGCATGATTGTTCGTAGTTAAAGTGATTAATTACCTGCCTGCTTTTCTGAGGAAGGAAAGGTAAATGTAAAGGCATGGGAGGAGGTAGGCCCAAGGAACCTTATCCTTAACCCCACTGCAGCCTTTCCACCCCGGGGAAAGTGCAGGATTGGCAAGCTCTCCCTGGGGTGATAGATCAGGACTCAGGTAATAGCGGAAAGCACCAATCCTACTCTTAAAATGGATATAAGAGAGCATTTCAGGTTTTTCTTTTTAATGCCTGCTTTTTAAAAAATAAAAAAGGGGGAATTTGCCGGGAGCTGGTCCATGCTTGCTGTTTCAAGGGACCTGGCATATATGGCATACTGTTCTTAATATGTTTGCTCACCTTCTTGGCACTATGTGTTTTAACCAAGGTCTCTGAGAAAGGTTGTTTCCCCAGGTAGGGATTTTCCCCTGAAGTTAGGGAGGGAATAAAACCTCTTAACTAAGTGCCAGGTGGGTAATTAATCACTTTAACTATGAACAATCATGCTTAAGCTACATAATCTTTACTCCCTGGAATGGAGATAAGAAACACCCTAACCTTTGTAATAGAAATTGACAGGATTAAAATCAACTGGTATAAATACGGATGTAACAAAACAATAAACGGCAGAACTTCGCTGGAGATCCAGACCAGAACTTGGCTGGAGATCCTGGCTGGAGATCCTGGCTAGGCTGCTGATCAACTGAACACTGTCTCCGTGTCCTTCCTTCTTCGCCGACTCCGTCTACACCTTTGGGGACCCCTGGACCTGCTGGGGTTGGACTCCGGCATGCACCCAGGAGGGCTGGGCTGCACCAGTGGTGCCAGGAGCAGGGAGGAGCTGTGGGGCTGTCTCCAGTCTCTTAAGTCCCCGAAGGGAAGAAGGTGCCCACCCAGGACACAGGCCACAGCCCTCATCCGTGTCGGTGGGACCCAGGGAGAATCAACTCTTCCTGTTGGCAGCTCAGCTGGCCCAGAGCCTCCCCAGGGGACCTCAAGGATCAGCTCCACCTCCAGCCTCCTCCGACAAGCTCCCTTCCGCCTGCAGCTCTAGGTGGTGGGGAATGGGGGCTTCCTTCAAGCCCCGGCTCCAGAAGGGGGTGGGGTGAGGAGATGCTCGGGATTCCCACGCCCAGAGGAGCCGCTCCCAAGGCGCCCCCTCCCAGACTGGGCGACAGAGCCCACGCGCACAAGGCGAGAGGACGCAGTGGAGGGTGGGGCATCTGTCTGCAGGGTCCCCCGGATGCACCTGCAGTTTCCGTGTCCAAACTCGGATCCACCGGGCACCCCGCAACCTTAGGAGTCGCCCGCAGCCCAGGCCTGGGGGCGCCCCCTCCTGGCAAGGAGCCCGGGGGCGGCCCTGGACGTACCAAGAGGGACACCTGCGAGGAAGGTGACGCCGTGCAGCGCCCCAGCAGAGGCACCGAAGAACATGCGCGCGTCGCGGAGGAGGTGCGGGGCGCGCTCGCTCAGGCAGCGGGTCGCCCCGAGGTGGTAGAAGACCAGGAAGCCGCAGCCCACGAAGGACACGCTCCAGCCACGCTCGGGGTCGCACAGAGCGGCGGCGGGCCGGGGTCCGGGAGGCGGGGTCTGAGGTCCACGGTCTGCACTTCCTGGCATCTTAACCCAGTGCCCACTGGTGCGCTCTGCGCGGCCTGGCAGCTGCTCCCCAGGTGTTCCCTGCGTGACGTCAGCGCCTCTGGGCCCGCCCCTTCGCCCAGCAAATGCTCTTCGGGCGGGTGGGCCAATCAGGGGCTCGTCGCCCACTCCTTGCTCCTTCACCTCGCGGGCTGGAGGCGCTGTGGGGCGGGGCCTAGGAGGAGCGGACGGGCTGTGGGGCGGGGCCTATCCGGGTAGACGGGCTGGGGGGCGGGGCCCGGGAGGAGCAGATGGGCTGTGGGGCGGGGCCTGGGAGGGGCAGATGGGCTGTGGGGCGGGGCCTGGGAGGGGCAGACGGGCTGCGGTGCGGGGCCAGGAGGGGCAGATGGGCTGTGGTGCGGGGCTTAGGAGGGGCAGAGGGGCTGTGGGGCGGGGCCTGGGAGGGGCAGAAGGGCTCTGGGGCGGGGCCTGGGAGAAGCGGACGGGCTGTGGGGCGGGGCCTGGGAGGGGCAGAGGGGCTGTGGGGCGGGGCCTGGGAGAAGCGGACGGGCTGTGGGGCGGGGCCTGGGAGGGGCCCACCTGTGCCTGAGGGAGGGTGGGGAAGCTCTCCCTTCTCCAAATGACAGGTTGTCCTGGAAAGAGACGCGCCCCCTGCAGTTCCTCTTCATCCCTGAGTCAGGGAGGAAGCAGCAGTGGCCACTGAGGTCTTTAGTTTCTTCCCGACACGTGGTCGTTCCCCTGTTCACAGGCCTTAGGCGGCACCGGCATCCACACGACACGCGTGTGATGGCTTTGCTCTGTTCCCTGCAGTCTGTGCGTGTGAGGTCTCAGTGCCTGGCAAGTGGTGGCGATTCTCTTTTCAGGACAGTGACGCCAAGTTTCCATTTCAAAGTTTCGCTTCTAAGTGAAGAGGGTGAGTGACAGGTGTTGGGAGCAGTGGAGGAACGTAGGGCCGAGACGCGTCCTGCTGCCCCTGGGAAGTGGCTCAGCTGCCCGTAGAGACGTGTGTCCCGGCTGCACGGAGCGCCTCCAGGTGCAGGGAGGTGGGGCGGAGGCCCCGCGTGGCTGAGCCGGCAATCAGCCTCCGGGGCCTCCCTCCCCCAGCCGAGACGCCCCGCCCTCTCCGCCAAGCCAGCGCGCGCAGAACACCGGCTTAGAATCAGGCCTCCCCCTCTGCGCCTGTGTCCGCATCTGCACAATGAGCCCTGGAGTTGCTGCCGGGACTCAGCACGTCCCCTGGGCAGCGCCTGGGCACGGGGCTGGGCGTCATCGCCCCAGGCTGTGGGGTCGGCGCTCCCCTCACCCACCGCCGATACCGGTCACGTGGTGCCTTTTCCAACACCAGGTCCGGAGCTGCGGCCTCAGCTGCCTCTTGTTTACCGCTCCCTCCTGTGTCAGCCGGTCCCTTAGCTCACATGTCTGCGCTTTAATTTCTGACTCTGCTGTTTGGAGTGGCCCCCAAGTAAGTGTGCTGGGCTGTGGGCAGTTCCCAAGTGCACGGGCTGCAACGTGCCTCGGGGACATACAGGTGTTGGTTGAGCTTCATTCAGACACAACTTACACTGCTGGGGCTGTACGTTCCATGCGAATGAATCATCAATAGCTACCAAAGAAGCTGTCTTTAAACTGAAACCACATGCAAGTTTATGTGGTGGCGGGTTGACCGAACTGTGACATCCCGAAGCTTGCAGGACCCCAACCCTGTGTTTCCCCAAGGGGTGCCCACTCACAACTCATAATGAAGCGAAAGCGGCGACTTCCAGAACCGCCCACGAGACTCCGGACCTTCTCAGAGGGCAGCAGGCGGTGCGTGGACTGGGGCTGGTTCCCAGGGTGGGACGTGCATGCAGACAGGCGCCCGCTCGGACTGTGCTGGCTCAGCGCGGACCCTGGGGCTCCGGGGCCCACTCACCGCCTCCCTGCAGTCCCGCAAAATGAGGGCAGGCACCCTTCCCCCAGTTACCAAACCCCATGCCTGTGGGAGGCCTGGGCTTCTCAGTCACCTGCCAGGTCCTCCCTCAGTGCCCCAGGCTGGCTTCTGACCTCCCACAGCCACGCACCTGGCCCAGCCTTCCCCACCCCAGGGACAGCCTCACCTCCCCCCTGCAGCCCCCACCCTCAGCCCAGCCTCCCAGCCCCGGCTGTAATTCACAAAAGTTTACCATGTCAGCCTTTTAAAAAATTTAATCCTTACCTGAGGATATCATTTTCCATGGATTTTTTTTAGAGAAAGTGGATGGGGGCGGGGAAGAGACAGAGAGAGAAACATCAATGTGAGAGAAACACATCCATTGGTTGCCTCCCACATGGGCCCCAACTGGAGCCAGGGGTGGAGCCTGCAACCCAGTTATGTGCCTTTGACCAGAATCGGACCAGCAGCCCTTCAGTCTGCCGCTCTAACCACTGTGCTAAATCGGCTAGGGCTGTCCTACCTATTTTTAAAGGCACAGTTCAGTGGCCTTAAGTGCGTTCCCAAGGTGTGCACACATCATTGCAAATTTGCAAATTGGTTTCATCTTGCAGAACAGAAACTCTACTGCCATGAAACACTGAGTCCTCTCCCGCCTGCCCAGCCCCCGCGGCCAGCATTTACTTTCTGTCTGTGAATTCCTCGCCTGCAGGGTCCACAGAGAAGTGGAGTCACTGGGATGTGTCCTCCTGGGACTGGCTGGGTCCAGAACCAGGTCAGCGCCCAGCTGTGTGAAGGGAGAACACAGGTGCGCCTGATGGGGAAGGGGTGGGCGGAGGTGGGGTGGGGGTGCGCATGTGGGTGGGGGCGCGGCTCTGAGTCATCACACTCAGAAGGCCTCCCCATCTCAGAGCTTTCACATGCAGACCTACCTGGATGGCTCCCAGGTCCCCGGGGCACCTGTTACACCAGGCTGCTCAGTGGGCATTAACAGGGTCACCCCCAGGCTGTCTTGGTGACACGGGGAAGAGTTGGTCCCCTTTGTCCTTGCGAGACTGAGCCAGTGTTTGGGGCTCAGCATGATTCTGGTGCCCCATCACCCTGTCCTGGCTTGGCCCTAACCAGCGAGGCGACTCCAGCAAGACACTTGGCAGCTCTGGGCTCCAGTCCCTTCAGCTGGGAGATGGCCCGGCTTCACGGGACTGGGAGGGCGGCTGGGAAGCCCTGTGCTCGGTGCCCGGCCTGGAAAGGCCCCTGACACGCACTTGCCACCCTCGCCTCCTCCCAGGGACCATGAGGAGTTGGGAGCTGAGGGAGCCCTGGGGGCACCCCCCCTCCTGGCCTCTCTGTCTGGGTCTGGGCCTCTCTCTGCCCTGAACACACCAGCAGCTCTGCTGGCCGCGCGTCCGTGTGTCCAGAGCAGCTCCGGGTCCAGGTGTCTCGTGGCAAAGCCTCAGAGCCGGTGGCCTGAGGGCTTCGATCAGTGTCTGTGGGCGGCTTCTCCTCGGCTCCTCAGAGTGGGACCTGGTCTGCGGTCTGCCCCCTGCCCCCTGCCCGCCTCCCCTGGAGCTGGGCCCACAGGCGGCCTCCCCGCCCCAGGCTGCCTGTTTCTGTCCACCTCCTGGGACAGCGTGTTCCTGGCACAAGCACCTCCTGTGCACCGGGCTCCATGCTGGGCCTGGGCCGTGGGGAGGGGCCGCCCGGCCACGCCAGCCTGCGCTGCAGGTGGACAGGACGCTGCGCACCCACAGGACACGCACTTCCTAGTGCCTGCTGTGCCCCACACACTGCTCCCCCTTTTCCACAGTGACCGGAGCCCCAGCAGCTCATGGCCACTCTGCCTTTTGTCCATCGACGGATGGACAGCCATCCACAGGGCGCCCAGGGCCTGTGTGTGTGCTAAGTCGGACCTCATTCTTACAAAGGCTGCAGGTCAATTTCCCGACTTGCATTGGGGGACTGAGGCCCAGGGGGGCAGTGACTTCTCTCAAGCAGAGGCCTCTGTGGGCCCCAGGGAGCCGCGAGTGCAGCTCTCCAGTCTGCGTCTCGGGTTCTGGGGGAACACTCTGGGGAGATGCTCACCCACTAGGAGCCCGTGAGGCAGCCTGGATGGAGCCGGAGCTGGGGGCAGGGAGGGGCAGGTTCTGTCTGCTGCCGGGGCTGGGGTGTACGTAGAGCTCGGGAAGTATGTCTCAGCGCTGTGGCTGATGCAATGGTGTGAGCACACTCCACCATGACATGCTTCCTCCGCGCACCAGGAAGTAGCAACGCCCGTCGGAACAAACTCCTAGAGCCACGTGCACAGTACCCCAGCCTTTCAGCCATTGGTTGCCTGTAGCAACGTGTCTCCCTCTGATTGGTCCCCTCATGCTATCTATACCCCTGTAGTTCCACAATAAAACGGATCTGCGTCACTGAACCTGGTCTCCGGAGTCGTGCATGCAGATGCCCTAGCGTGCTGGGGCTCCGTCGTCCTCACCCCCGAGGGACCCCCTGCTTCACTGGGGGCCGCCAGCCGCTCCTTCTCCTCCTGTTTCCCAGGCGCCTGGGCCTGTGGCTCACTGACCACATGTGCAAACCCCAGGCCTAAAGGGGTTGTCACGGCTCAGAAACCACTTGCTACTGTGTCTTCTTCTTTTTGGGAGGTTCCCTGTCCCCACCTCCCTGGTCACCCCCACTCTTCAGGGCAGCTCTGGGCTTCTTGTCCTTCATGCTCAACCAGGGGCCCCTGGAGAGGTGGCCTCAGGTTCACCCTCACTCACTTGCTTGTGTTTGCTCTGGGCTCATGTCCCTCCTGTCCCTTGTGTCTGCTCTGCTCCCATGACCTCCTCCCCTGCGGACTGCCTGACAGAAGGGGTCTGGCAACTGCCAAAGTCTCCGACCCGTTCTCCACGGAGGCCTGGTTGCCCCCTCGGTTAATCCGTGATCCCTGGCAAATCTAAAGCCTCCATGGAAACACCAACAGGGGCAGAACTCCCCACTTATGGCCACAGACCGACCGCCTCTCGCGCCCTGAGCCAACCAGGAAGGCATAACTGCCTGCTGTCTTTCTTCTTGTTATATTGATCTGAGCTCACATTTTTAGAGAGGTTGTAAGAATTATGCAAAAATGGAACACTCACGTCCCCTTCACCCAGAATCTCCCATCAGTGACATACACTTCCTTCTAGATAGAGAGATAGATGGGTAGCTAGGTGAGTAGCTAGGTGGGCAGCTAGGTGGGTAGCTAGCTGGGTAGCTAGGTGGGTAGCTAGGTGAGTAGCTAGGTGGGTAGCTAGCTGGGTAGCTAGGTGGGT